CAAACTGCTCTTCAACACCAGTCTCTGCTTGAAGCTTTTCCTCCTCCATTCCTTCTCAGGCTGCATTGTGTGGCTTCTTCAAGGACCACTCTTTCCACCAGTACCGGCTTCTTCTTCTTCTTCTTCTTCTTCTTCTTCTTCTTCTTCTTTCTCTCTCTCTCTCTCTCTCTCTCTCTCTCTCTCTCTCTCTCTCTCTGTAAAACTGAGGGCTGGAAAATGTAGAGGAACACGCCACTGTATCAGTGGGAGCAGGAGGCCGGGTGAGATTCAAAAATCAGTTCATTTTCCTTTCCCACCTCCCTCTGTGAAATTCTCTTCGCCCCAACCTTGGCTCCTCAGAGGTCCCCACCTTATTGCTCAGGGTGTAGAGGTGCACAGGCACAGAAAGGGATACGGAAGGAAGGAGGCACCCAGGACTCCATCCACAGGCAGTTTGGTACATGCTCTTATTCTGTGATGATTTCATTTTACACGGTGACGATCGCACACATATACGATTTTTGTTTCTTTTTTTTTGCATTTAACAACAGACAGCATATGCATTCTGACGTGACACTCACAGTTCTGCATAATTATTATCCTGAACAGAGTCATTAGTCTCCTGGCCTACATCCCTTTGTTGTTGACATAAGCCATGGAATAATTTGGGACAGGTTCAGCATTTCCACTGTTTTGCTACGACAGATAATGTTGTGTGGGACGCAGCTACAGTGTTTGCACAGATTCAAGCCTTGGACTGAGGAGAGGGCACAATCCTCTCATGGCCACGTGCAAGTCCCAGCTTGGAGGGCAGGTCCCTCCCAGCACAATTATAGCCAACTGCTGTAGTTTTGAGCTTGAACCTATGGTCTGAACACGTGGCCCCATGTGCCTGAGTGATGCAGGCTTGATAGAGTTCAGGTGTATGTAGTGAAGTGGGATTGAAACATATGAGAATGTTATAAACATCTTGACCATGCCCTTACCTTGCCTCCTGACATCTGCTATAAAATAAAGACACGGCTTGTGGGCACTGAAGCTATCTCTCTCCACCCGAGAGGGCAGCGTCCCACCAAGACCGAGCTTTCATTCTCTTGTCTGTCTTTTCTAAGCCTTTCACCGGCCCCACTCAGGGTCACTGACCCAGGCTGAGCTGGCATGGCACATAAGGCGCCCTGGGGCTGAGTATGCCATGGCCGTCCAAGCTCCCCCACAATGTTGTGATGAATTCAAACATTGCCCATGTTTCGATTGACCAGAATTCCTAGGTCAAAAGCCATGAATGAGATTTTTGACTGACCTTGCCTAACCTTGTAGGCTCACCTTGTTAACCTTGTGTCATAAAAATTGTTCTCCACTTCCACTGGAGAAGATGGCTGGGGTCTCCCCCCATCTTCACCAGATCGACGTTTTTGTGTTTTATGTTTAGCTCATAGGTTTTTGCACATTTTTATTAGAATGTTGTTGACGGTTTCAAAAGACTTTGAAAATGATAAAGTCAAATACGGCGGCAAGTCAGGAAAGTCTTTATTTCTGGGAAGTCCCTGTTCAGGGCATAGGGAAAAAGGATGAAAGCATGGAGAGATTAGGAATTGGCTTTCATGGTATTATACAGCCATTTGCGGTACATGCATAGGCGGGTGTATATCACGGGCTTAAAGGGCAGGATACAAGGGAAATGGCCGGCGGACACCAGGCCTTGCAGGGAACCTTCGCAAATCAGCGGACTCCCAGAGTCACCCTGGAGGGAAGAGAGCAGATTAACTTTGATTAAAAAATAACCAGCAATGAGGTCCCAAGACACTAGGATTCTCAGGCCTTTATCCCTCCAGAACACAGCCTACCACCTGGCCAATGGGAAGAGACTCATTGTCTCTGCGGACCAATGGCAGAGAAGGAATGAATGCTATCAAGGAGAGGACCAACCAGGTTTTTGGAAAACATTGGCTTGAGCCCTAGTCAATCAAAGGGAAAGGGCAAGGCTTCCAGGATGTCAGAGCCCCATTTATTTGTCAAGCCCCCTGGGAGAGGAAGCATTACCTCCAGGGAATCCCATAGGTTGCCTTTCCCAGGGATGGAGTACAGGGTAGTCCAGGAAACCAGGGGCGGGACCAATGCACTAATTTACAGGCTCTAGTGCAAAATAAAAGTTTGGACCACTAGGTTCAAATATAGGAAGTTTAAGAAAAACGAGTGCGTTAAACCAAGTGCAAGACTGTCCCTAGTTTGCGACTCTGTTTCCCTGCACAGTTTGCAGAATCATGAATCAGGTCCTCAGTGGGGAACCAGAGGGAACCCCCCATTTTTTAGCACATTCAACCTTGTCCCATCACCTCTCTTCCTAAAACACACCAATTTACCACCCCTGAAAGCTTAGAGTGCAGATGTCAGCAAGATAGTGGGGGTACAAAGAGGCAAAGGATGAAAGAGAGAGAGAGAAGGATGGAGAGAAGAAGAAAGGGAAGGGTGAAGGAGACAGACAAGCAGAATGTTTGGGGTTAGGAATGAGGCAGAGATGGCGAAAATAAAAAAAATTGACAGAGGCCAGAGAGAGAGGCAGAGGGGTAGGGAGAGAGAGAGGGAGGCATGGAGGGAGGGAGGGAGGAAGGGAGTGGGAGAGAGAGAGAGATCACAACACAGAACACAGGGGGAACCAGAAAATGAAATGAGGTGTGAGGACCTAGCTGGTTTGACTCAGTGAATAGAGCATCGACCTGCGGAATGAAGGGTCCCAGGTTTGATTCCAGTCAAAGGCACATGCCTGGGTTGCAGGATTGATCCCCAGTGGGGGGCATGCAGGAGGCAGCCAATCAGTGATTCTCTCTCATCATTTTTGTTTCTCTCTCTCCCTCCCCCTTCCTCTCTGCAATCAATAAAAATAGTAGAAATAAAAAGAAGTGAGGTGTGAGGAGAGATTGGGGAGAGTCAGAGAGGAGGCTACAGAGATGAGGAAGGGAGAACAAAGAGGAGGGGCTCCTTCTTTCTTCAGAATAAGAACCAGATACACAGACATAGAAGCAGGGCATGAGCCTCAGGCGCATCTCAGTGACTCTAACAGACACTTTAAGGCATATTTTAAAAATCAAATTTAATATGAAAAAAAATCCATGAGGAAACTGCTTTCCAGTTTTTTGTTTTCTGTTTCTAATTTTTTCTTTATTTCAGAAAGTAAGGGAGAGGGAAAAAGAGATAGAAACGACAATGAGAGAGAGTCATTGATTGGCCGCCTCCTGCACGTCCCCTACTGGGCATTGAGCCTGGTACCTGGGCTTGTGCCATTGACTGAAACAGAACCTGGGACCCTCTATTCCAAAGTCCTATGCTGGATCCACTAATCCAATCCTTCTACGGCGGTATGTCAGTTTTAGATAAAGACAGGGTCATTACAGTGCTGTTTTGAATCACATAGAAGCCAGAAGCCAACGGGAAATCCAGCCCATTCTGGTTGCTTCTATTGTTGAAAATTCTGATGCTTTGCTCATCATGGATTATTTTTTAAATATTTCATGGGAATATGATATTTCCTGGTCACTGAGCTTTTGGTGAGCCCTTAAAGCTTGTGCTTGTAGCCAGTGCCTCAGTGCCCTCCCCATAGTCCCAGCCCCATTCCCACCCCCAGTTTCTATCCTTCAGCTTTGTGCCCGCCCCCAAGGCCACGCAGGACCATGTGGGCTCCCACCCTCACCCGGGCAGAGAACTGAGTAGACAGAGCCAGGAAAGTGGGGCTGGTAAGGTGTGAGGGAAGGCTCAGCACCAGGGTCAGGCCCCGGGACACAGGATGGAGGGGGAGGCAGGCCCAGGTGAGAAGATGCTGAACCCACAGCAGGGGAGGAGAAGACTCACTTTGCAGCTGTTTGACAGCCCGTTGGGGGCAGCCGCACAGAGCATGTATTTTCTCAACAGGGCCCGGTAAGACTGCTTGCATTCCTGGGCGGAGATGATGTTGACATTCGAGCACATGAGCTCTGATGGCTTTGTTGCTGCTGGAGAAGTTGGGGGGGGGAGGGAGGGGCAGTCAGAGGCTGGGTCCTGTGGACCTGTGGGTGCTGATGCAAAAGAATGGGGACCCTGGACATGGAAGGAGGAGGAGCTGGTTGACCCAATACGATGGTTATGAAAAGGGTCCTATTTCTTGGATTTCTGGGTCTTCGGAAGGAAGGGAACTGTGTCTGACCTTCTGGGTTTGAACCTACTGTGCATAGTGGCCGCCTTATAGCACACCCGCCCCACTCCAACTCTCAGGGTCCTGGAGTTCAGGTGAACCCAGCTCTGGGGTTACCTTCCCTGCATTTCCTCTTATCTGGAAGCCCGGAGGCAGCTAAACCCATATGCCTGCACTCTACCTCTCCCCTCATTCCTGAGGCCAGGCAAGGGGATTGGACCCTGCATGTTCCAGCTCCACCATCCCTGGTAGCATCTACCAAGGGAGGGACAAGGTGCTGGCATTGAGGGACAACTCCTGGGTAGAGGGGGCTGGGCACCAGGTCTCCTTTGTCTGAGGGAGATGGCGCCTGAAGGCCAAGACTCCCAGTTCTGAGGGTGGAAGCGGATGGGAGCCTAAACACTTGGCTCTGGGTAAGGTGGTCACTGGGGTTCTAAACTCCTGGGTCTGCAGGATGGAGGCCTGGGGGAGGTATGTCTAAAGATCAAGCTTCCGGATCTGACAGTGCAGGGCCTGGGGGTCTGGCTTCCTGGGTGTGAGAATGGAGGTGTTTGAGGAGCGGGGGGTGTCTGGAACCTTGGGTCTGTTCCCTGTGTCTGGGGCGTGAGGAAGAAGGGAGCTGGGACCTTGGTGACTGGGGTCGCAGGGGCAGCCTCACCTCCATCCTTGGTGGTGATTCCCCAGCCAGACACAGTACAGCTTGTCCCAGAGCCTTTGCAGCTGGACGGTAGGTAAATTGTGTTCACAGTGGGCGAGAGCGTGGCCGGGCTGTGCAGCTTCACCAGCATGATGTCATGATTATTGGTGCGGTTGTTATACCGGGGGTGGATGAAGTACTCTGTGGCCCTTATCCTCTGGGCACGCCAATCAACCAGAAGATC